AATTCACTTGCGATATGTAATGTATAATATCACGATATTGCAGATTCATCCAAGTATTGCGGTATGCTAGCTTTATGTATGTTTCTCGTATATTAACATTCTCATACAGTTTTTCATACATATGTTTGAGAAGTTTATATATTATATATATTATAGAAACAACTTCGTATCATTTTATTTATAATATATTGTTTAAAATTGAATAAAACACGTGTATTAAGCTCGTGTATATGTTATGGTATGGTAAGCAAGAATAAAACGACTAATAACCATGTACTCCTAAATAGTTCATGTTGCTGGTTTCTAGCACCGCGTTTATGCTGTGTCTGTGGATTCTGCGTGAGTGTCTATCGATCTACATTCTGAGAACATCAACATTCGGAATATAACATAGTTGACAATGTGAGGCACAATAAATATTTTCTGGTCGGGCAGATACAGCAAACAACAACATAATGATGGGTGAACATAACACGTCTGGCAGCGCGTTCGCAGCTCGTAAACAAACTGAAAACAAACATTTAGCAATGTGAGCAAATAGTCGGCAGTGTTAATGTTGTTTGCATAGCTATTTGAACTTTACGGACTTCATCGTTTGATTTTTGATCGGGGTTCTACGAGCGAAGCGATACACATTCCGTGTTCCATCACGCACAGACGCGCATGATGTCACTAACATGCGGATGACGACGGTAATTCGCAGTTCTTGCTAATTCAATCACGACTCTCAGCTCTCGCTCGCAAGGAAGGCATATCGCTTCTAGATGCGAGGGCGTTCTATGCGGATTCCACATAGAACAACACTATGTGTAGCTACAGTTAAAAATTTATTATTTATTACCACACAACCACACACACACCACACACACACACACACACACACACACACACACACACACACACACACACACACACACACACACACACACACACACACACACACACACACACACACACCACACTCACACACACACACACACACACACCACACACACACACACACACACACACACACACACACACACACACACGCACACACGCTCACACACACACACCCACCACCGCACGCAGCACGCACGCACTCCGCGCAGACACACACACACACCCACATACACATACACACATACACACACCACACACACACACACACACACACAACACACACACACACACACACACACACACACACACGCATATATATATATATAATATATATATATAATATATATATGTCATCGTTCAGGACGTGTTCAATCATTCGAAATAACTCTTCCCCGATGCCACGGCGTTGGTGATTTTGTTAACCCGCGTGAGCCGACCTTCCCAGCTATCGCCATCGCGCCTCGCCGCAGCACTTTAGCGTTTCCTGGTAATGAAGCCGATATTCGAGCTCCGCCAGTTGCCGGCAGTTTCACAGCGCTGTCTCGCTGCCGCCGAGTCTGCGCGTTAATGCCTGAGAGCTAGCCGACCGCTGCCGCGCACACGCATACTGGCCTGCCGTGCGTCCTTAAGGAGCCCGTTGTCGGTAGAAGCGAGGCAGGAAGCTGCGGGGTGACGACGCTGCGATTTGTTAGTCGCAACACGAGCTGATACCGCTATCGTCACTCGGTGTGATTTAGCGTAGCTCGGTATCGCACAGCCGCCGGCGTCAGTGTCCCTAGCAGGAGAAGCCGCCTATGATGTGCGTGGCCGCATTGCGCAGGCCGCGCAGCCGTGAAACATCGTTGATCGGGCTGCCCGTGAGCTGGATAAGTCAGCGAGTTCAATGGTCGGCAGAAGGTAAAGTCGAGTGCGTCTTTACTTTTCATCGCTGGTTATGGGGATTTGAAGTGTGTAGGAGACGTGGGGACATCGGGGCTCTACCATTCGCGATCGCAGTAGCGAGGTTTTAGCATTTTTTTCACGTTTTAATCGTAAGGTCACGACGAGTGTATCGCGCAGCGCGGTGTATATAGTTACTTAGTAAGACAAACACCGGTAAGAAAAAATAGTACGCCGCTAATTCATGAAGTAACTATTTAATGCTTAAACGTAACAATTACGCTAATATCAATTAAGTAATGCTGCAACTGCCGTACGGTCTATACTGGCCGAGTAGTTCATCGCAATTGCGGTAGGCTAGAGACCCTCCAGGTCAGGAGAACGGAGTTAGGCAGCAAGACGTGATTACATACTAATACCTATACGCTTTGCTACAATGTGCGTTGTTCTGTGTACATTCCCGAAATGTTGAACTAACAGAGTAGACGTTTGTCCGCCGTTCAAACTGCTTTGCAGAAATCCAGTGGGGATCCTTTCTAGACAAACTGCAGGCCGGATAAACGCGCGAAGCGCGAACAGCGCCACCTGTGGCGCCATCTATGGACAACTCGCTGCCCTATATTAGAATACTTTTCACGAGGCCTTTTAGGTATAGGATAAAGCCGTAGAATCGGTCAATTCAGCAGTTCTGGCCATTGCAGAAGTCTTTCGGCTTTGCACGTAGGGCGAGAATAAATCCAAATACTCGTTTTTGTTGCTTTGTGGCTCGGCGCGCGCTGGCTTTTCGTGTATAAAATAAATTTTCCCTTTTCGCTGATTTATGCCCTGACATTAATTTGGAAGTTATCGCCACCCATAGATGGCGCTACGAGTCCATCTACGTAGCATTTTCAAGTTTTTTTTAAAAAAACGCTCGGCTGCATGACCTAGACTGCGCGGCGGCTGCCACAGTTCGACACGCTAGCGTAACTCACTTCAGTGTAGCAACGATAGTTCGCTGAGTGAAGGTCGGTAGCCGTCTAGCCCTGCTCGTCACTGCCGCATGAACTTTGAGCGATAAGCTCCAATCTGATGTTCTGATGTTTGCCATTATGATTGTGAGGATGTTCAGTTTGTTTAGACTCAGACTAGCGGCACATTAAGACTGCTATTACATTCCACACCTACGGCTAGGAATACTTGTATTACTACAAGTACATGTTACAATAATTACTACTAAGTACTACTACTAGTAGTAGTAGTACTACTAAGTTACTAGTACTAGTACTAGTAACTACCAGGACCGCACGAGCTAATAGTAATAGTAATAGTAATAATGACTAACTCTGTTACTAGTAATTAACTTACTAATAATGACGAACCCTAACCTATTATATTGATATAATATTAGATTTATATTGATGTAAATGACATTGGTTTTATTCCCCATGCCATACATTGGGCCATATAATATTGGGAGCCACTGTTCTCTATCCTTGAACCACTAGTACTACTAGACTACTACGCACTAGCAAGAAACGCCTCTTTGCTAGGGTTAGAATACCCTGAGGCTATACTAGACACAGGCACTTGAAGCGTTTCAATAAAATATAATGCTAACTAAATACGAAATCTATTTACTACGAAATTGTTAATGTTTCTAGTATAGGCCTACTCTGTTTCAAGAAGGTTTTCGAGGTGCAAAGGCTATATTAGACTAGGACTCGCCTCCAGCTCGATTAGCCATTGAGTGACTAAGCTAAGCCGAGGGTGCGAGAGAGTGCCAGTCTATGGGCTATAGGCGGCGGGCAGGCGGCGCACTGCTTTCCAACTCCCGTACGAGCCTCGCCATTGGAACGCTTGCAAAAACTGCAGCGTTGGGGCGCGAAGAGCGCCGGTAGGTGTTTCCTGATTCTGACAGCCGTTTCCATTACTGGGCAAGGTTCCCGAATGTCAGAATTTCGACATTCTTTCTGTGATTTCGCGTGACACAGCTCGGTTACGAACAGATTACTCGGTTACAGTTTTTATAACAGTGAACACTGTTCACGTCCAAATGTCTACCGCTCTGTGTCCCACTAAAAAATTGCGGACTGTTCGCTGGCCAGCTTATGGATCACGTGCGCCCGCCAATTGATTCGGCGCACGGCATCCATAGCTGCCAGCGCTGCATACTGTCGTAGGACGTTCCCGCGGTCGCCGTGCGCTTGCCGCGGAATTCGCGCGCGAGACGCATCTGCGCTTATAATATTGCGCATAGGCTTGGTGGATCAACACCTCCTTTCGGCAACGCCCTCTAGTATCCCGTCTCATCTGGTTGCATTCATGGTTACTGTTTAGGTTAAGTTGGGGTTGTTTGGGGTTATGGTGATGGTGATTGATGATAGCGATGGGTGTACCAGGGTTTTTGTATATGTTATCATGAATATATGAATGAGAGGTGATTCCATTCCATTGCGCGACGCCGAGCATATTATATTTGGCCTTTTAGCGCAGCAATGTAAATGTAAAGTGTCCAGCGCTTATAAATACTGGATATAATTCGAGTATGCGAAGCCGTTACAGCAGCGTTACTGCCATGATAGGATTCGTCGAATGCTGTGTCATGAATATATATGATCAGCTGCTGCCAAACCTTGAAATTTAACTGCAAGCGAGCTGGAGATTGTGCAAGCTCGTCTTAATTTAATTCATTTCAAAATTTCCAGACATTGGTTATGTAGTTGGAATCATTACAGCTATATAAGAAAATGCATTAGTTTGAGCTTCGAAATATTATAATCTATACTGTTTTCTAATCAACTGGCTCACAGGCACTTGAAGCGTTTCATAAAATATAATGCTAAATAAATACGAAATCTATTTACTACCAATTCTTAATGTTTCTATACTCTCTTTCATCTATTATGCGACATTTCCTGTAAATTCCGTCCAATCCTACGTGCAACCATATACGCTGCCGCCAGCCATTGCTCTCGCGGCTCCACTGTTGCACGCTTACACTTATATTACAGTGTTGTAGTGGTAAATTATTTTTTGGGTATACCTCTTATACTGAAGCTCAATCCTCAAAGCAACAAGCCAACGACAAGGCGCTGCCCGTGGTGGTGATTCACAAACACAGTGCCCCCCCCGCCAGTGACCCACCCTGACCAGATTTAAAGACCAGGAGATTTAAAGACTTGCAAGTGGGACTTAGAAGAAAGCTAGAAACGAGAGATTTAGAAGAGGTTAGAAGAGATTTAAAGATTTTAAAGAATCTAGATCTTTAGATCTTTAGATCTAGATTTTAGATCTAGAGATTTAGATCTTAGAGATTTAGAGATTTAGAGAGATTAGAAGAGGTTCGATTTAGAAGTTGGATTTAGAGTTCGATCTGGAGTTAAAACTATAGTAAGTAATACTGTAATAATGATGTAACATGCTGTACGTATTATAAGAGGAAACACTGTAATTCCCTGTACCCTGTTTATACCGTATTAAAGATTTAACAGTTCGGTTACCTAATTTATAACTCATTGTTCCTACTCTCTATCACTTAGTTTCGTTCTCTATCTAGTATCTACGCATCGACACCACGGAACACCAATAAACTATAGCTATATCGATCTAATTTGTAGGCTGTTTTACACGCGGCAGTGACACTTTTTTATACCCTAGACACAACTGACGAATACGGTAAACATACAGTCACGCGTTCAGACGGCACAGAGCAAAACTGCTACAACTGGCATAGGCTTGGGCGCCGCGCGCCACGTGCGCCCGCCGGCCCTTGGAGGCGGATGCGCAATCATCAATGTCGATATACGTACGTTTGATTTGTCAAAAGTTAGTCGCGTATATGGATAGCCAACACAAATTAATTCTATGGAACACCACGCGCCAGCGTATGAATGTCGACGAATATAGCCTAATTATTTTTTTGGTATACGTGCGTATACCCAAAAATGTCCTATTTTTTAATTATACGCGGGTATACATAAGTATACCCTCCACTACATCACTGCTTATATATATTACTATATATATTAGTGTAAGCGTGCAACAGTGGAGCCGCCAGAGCAATGGCTGGCGTCAGCGTATATGGTTGCACGTAGGATTTGGACGAATTTACAGGAAACTGTCGGCAATAATAGATGAAAGAGAGTATAAAAACATTAAGAATTGGTATAAATACGATTTTCGTATTTAGTTAGCATTATATTTTATTAAAACGCTTTAAGTGCCTGTGAACAGGCTCACTGATTTATGTCGGAAGACACATTATATATAATATTATATATATATATATATATATATATATATATATATATATATATAGAAGATGAGAGAGAGAAGAGACGGAGAGAGAGAGAGAGAGAGAGAGAGAGAAGAGAGAGAGAGAGAGAGAGAGAGAGAGAGAGAGAGAGTGAGAGAGAGAAGAGAGAGAGAGAGAGAGAGAAGAGAGAGAGAGAGAGAGAGAGAGAGAGAGAGAGAGAGAGAGAGAAGAGAGAGAGAGAGAGAGTGAGAGAGAGAGATATATATATATAGATATATGCTGACTTTATGTGTATGGTTGCTCGCGTGCGTGCGTGCGTGCATACGCGTAAGTGAGTAAGAAGACAGTTTCGTGCCTACATATTGGGCACTTCCTTATAGCTCATTTCATATTTTCCGCTATCAATAAAAAACACAAAGCAAAATATAGTACAAACGCCTAGGATAATCAATAGACTTATCGTCTTTATCCACCGCCCATGGAATAACGAAGCGTCCATCTCTTGCAGTATGACGTGGTATAGTAATGCCATGAACCTTGTCACATAATGCAGTCTAATAAAACACACCTCCCGAAATGGCCAGCGATACGACAGCGGAAATTGCTCGGGCAGATAATAGCGAGAACTAGAATAACAACATCATATTTTAAAAGGAGGCATGAGCTGACTGATGGGCGTGATAAGTAACGACAAATTGTACAGATAAATAATAGGAAAAGTAAAATATGAACAATACGAAAGCACATTTTACAGACATTGTTATTTGAAGATGGCACTAGTCTTGCAAACCCGGATTGCGAACCTTTCCCCGCGAGCCTTCTTAGAGAATCTGCTTGCTTTCTATAGCGTGTAAATGCTCGCTTATATAAATAAATAAATAAATAAATATATATATATATATATATATATTATATACGCTTGCAGGCCCGTAGCCAGGGGGGGTTCGAACGAACCCCCCCGCCGCCAAGCCAAAAATTTTTTTTTTTTAATTTGCAAGAATTTCACTCAGGTCGCTCTATTCAGTGTAATAATTGGCAAAATCTCCATTGTGCGCGGAGCGTGAACAGTGAACACCCCTCCGCACCCCTCCCCCGCTGGTCGCTGGCTCCCTCGCCTGCGTCTGCTTCGCGCCCGAGCAGGGGCGTGTACATGGGGGGTCCAGGGAGTCCGGACCCCACTTGCTTCGCCGCAGAAAAACGCATCTGAGGGGTGTAATTTTAAAATTTCTGTGCTCGCAACTTCGGGTTACGGTTAGACCCCCCCTGGTAAAATCCTGTACACGCCCCTGCCGAGCAAATTTGCCAACATTGAAAAACGAACCCCCCCCAATACAAAGCTGGCTACGGCCTGCGCTTGTATATATAAATACATGTGTGTGTCTGCGTGCGTACGCGCGTGCGTGTTTGCGCCTGCCTGTGTGCGTGTGTGGATGCGTGCTTCCGTGCGCGTGCCTGACTACGTGAATTCGCATATAGTCTGCCACGAGTCGAATCGATGAAAGGCTAATACTGTGACCTCGTAGATATAGAGCACCAGACAGAACCGTGAGCAGTGCCGCGGCTCCAGTCACCAACGACATCACAGCCACACGTTTTTGTAACTTTGCTTCGACTTGAAATTGTGAAACAAACTCCGCCTGAAATAAAATGGGTAGCATGATCACATTCTTCTCAGCGCGTACACCGTTACGATATAATACAACTCGTTTGCACATCAGTTGCCACAAGCCTACAACTAGTGAGCACAGCGGCAGATCCACGATTTTGAGATGGTGGAGGGGGGGGGGCGCAACCGCGTAGCCAGGATTTCATTTTAAGGGGTGCGGATTTTGTGATAGCGCCGGTACGCACGCTTCGTGTGCCGAATAGGGGGAGGGGTCGCCTCTTGCGCCCCCTTGGATTCGCCACTATGAGCAGTACTCAACAATAATTTATTTCTTCGCTTAGGACTACGGTGTACGTTTTTTTTATTATTTAATGAGTCATGGTGTACGGTTTGTCAAATACGACGCCACTGTGAGCGTTTGTGCCGCATCGTCATACATTCGGCGTAATAACTCATGCTGCCATCATGCGGCGGCAATAAAAGATTTCTCATTACCCAGCCTCCTCGCTGCGCTATCCATGACGCAATGTCGGAATCTATAATCTCCACCAAAATGTCCGGCAGACTGACAAGAAATTCGGCACGGCCCTGTCTCACGGAATCCACGGCAATTGATTGCAGTACGGCGAACATGGCGACGATCTTACCCCAGGCGATATCAGTCGCAAACAATGACTCGCAAAACGTCTGAAAGAGGTCGTGAATCATAGCCACCGATCTTCCTTTCAGTTCAAAGCTCGTCGCGATGCATTGGTAGAGACATGGATATGTTAGCTCGAGGTATTGCACTGCACATAAAAGATGTGAAATTTCAGTAGGCTCGATTTCGTCGCTAAATTGATCCTCGACGGGCAATCCCTCCTGAATGAACAGAACAAGAGGTCATGCACAAATATCGTTATAACATAAACAATATGTGTACGGACAATATAAACAGACTATATACACCGACTTGTAATAATATGGCAACTAGGAAGAGTAAGCAAAGTAGTGTGGAAGAAATGACGTTAGTACCCACGTTAAATCATAGCGGGTTCGGATCAATCTTTTAATAACTACTAATGTTAATGTATGGATATTGTATCATCTGGCGTGTGCCAAATAAACGACATTGATAATATATTCGTCGGAGGCCCTGTAATGGTGTCTCAAAACGCGAACAGGTTCCGGGTTCAAATCGCGACGGTAATAATGTAGACAAATAATGAATTCGGAATTAGAGATAACTGTAATCGCCCACACATTATTATATTTACAACTCACCTGAATTAGTTTGGCATGGATGAAATGCCTGACGAGTAGGCGTGTCTGCTTCAACACGTTATGTTTTGATATCGCAGGACGCCGCGGTAGCAGTAGCACGCGGAAGAAACGTCTCGCTATTTTGTGCACAGTTCCGGTGGCATGCAGGACATGCTGATCACCGTCGAAGGGCGCCGATAATGTCTCTTCGTTCGTCGCGGCCATTTCTACTGACAGAGCTAGCTAGTTCTAGAGCGATTTAGAGAGCGGTATAACCTGTAAGATATCTAGGGCACGTCTGTGTAATATTTACGTGAATTATATTAAACACACAGGCACTTAAAGCGTTTTAATAAAATATAATGCTAACTAAATACGAAATCTATTTACTACCAAATTCTTAATGTTTTTATACTCTCTTTCATCTATTATTGCCGACAGTTTCCTGTAAATTCCGTCCAAATCCTACGTGCAACCATATACGCTGACGCCAGCCATTGCTCTGGCGGCTCCACTGTTGCACGCTTACACTAATATATATAGTATATATATAAGCAGTGATGTAGTGGAGGAAATACTTATGTATACGCCGTATAATTAAAAAAAATAGGACATTTTTGGGTATACGCACGTATACCAAAAAAAAATAATTAGGCTATATTCGTCGACATTCATACGCTGCGCGTGGTGTTCCATAGAATTAATTTGTGTTGGCTATCCATATACGCGACTAACTTTTGACAAATCAAACGTACGTATATCGACATTGATGATTGCGCATCCGCCTCCAAGGGCCGGCGGGGCGCACGTGGCGCGCGGCGCCCAAGCTATGCCAGTGTAGCAGTTTTGCTCTGTGCGTCTGAACCGTGACTGTATGTTTACCGTATTCGTCAGTTGTGTCTAGGGGTATAAAAAGTGTCACTGCCGCGTGTAAAACCAGCCTACAAATTAGATCGATATAGCTATAGTTTATTGGTGTTCCGTGGTGTCGATGCGTAGATACTAGATAGAGAACGAAACTAAGTGATAGAGAGTAGGAACAATGAGTTATAATTAGGTAACCGAACTGTTAAATCTTTAATACGGTATAAACAGGGTAAAGGGAATTACAGTGTTTCCTCTTATAATACGTACAGCACGTTACATCATTATTACAGTATTACTTACTATAGTTCTAACTCCCAGATCGAACTCTAAATCCAACTTCTAAATCGAACCTTTTCTAATCTCTTCTAAATCTCTAAATCTCTAAGATCTAAATCTCTAGATCTAAAGATCTAGATCTAAAGATCTAAAGATCTAGATCTAAATCTCTAAATCTCTAAATCTCTAAATCTCTAAATCTTTAAATCTCTTCTAACCTCTTCTAAATCTCTCGTTTCTAGCTTTCTTCTAAGTCCCACTTGCAAGTCTTTAAATCTCCTGGTCTTTAAATCTGGTCAGGGTTGGGTCACTGGCGGGGGGGGGCACTGTGTTTGTGAATCACCACCACGGCGCAGCGCCTTGTCGTTGGCTTGTTGCTTTGAGGATTGAGCTATCAGTATAAGAGGGTATACCCAAAAAATAATTTACCACTACAACACTGTATATAAGTGTAAGCGTGCAACAGTGGAGCCGCGAGAGCAATGGCTGGCGGCAGCGTATATGGTTGCACGTAGGATTTGGACGGAATTTACAGGAAACTGTCGGCAATAATAGATGAAAGAGAGTATAGAAACATTAAGAATTTGGTAGTAAATAGATTTCGTATTTATTTAGCATTATATTTTATTGAAACGCTTCAAGTGCCTGTGAGCCAGTTGATTAGAAAACAGTATGATTATAATATTTCGAAAGCTCAAACTAATGCATTTTTTATAGCTGTAATGATTCCAACTACATAACCAATGTCTGGAAATTTTGAAATGAATTAAAGATTAAGACGAGCTTGCACAATCTCCAGCTCGCTTGCAGTTAAATTTCAGGTTTGGCAGCAGCTGATCATATATATTCATGACACAGCATTCGACGAATCCCTATCATGCAGTAACGCTGCTGTAACGGCTTCGGCATACCTGAATTATACCAGTATTTATAAGCGCTGGACACTTTTACATTTACATTGCTGCGCTAAAAAGGCCAAATATAATATGCTCGGCGTACGCGCAATGGAATGGAATCACCTCTCATTCATATATTCATGATAACATATACAAAAACCCTGGTACACCATCGCTATCATCATCACCATCACCATAACCCCAAACAACCCCAACTCTAACCTAAACAGTAACCATGAATGCAACTAGAAAGGGATCCCCACTGGATTTCTGCAAAGCAGTTTGAACGGCGGACAAACGTCTACTCTGTTTAGTTCAACATTTCGGGAATGTACACAGAACAACGCACATTGTAGCAAAGCGTATAGATATTAGTATGTAATCACGTCTTGCTGCCTAACTCCGTTCTCCTGACCTGGAGGGTCTCTAGCTAACGCAATTGCGATGAACTACTCGGCCAGATAGACCGTACGGCAGTTGCAGCATTACTTAATTGATATTAGCGTAATTGTTACGTTTAAGCATTAATAGTTACTTCATGAATTAGCGGCGTACTATTTTTTCTTACCGTGTTTGTCTTACTAGTAACTATATACACCGCGCTCGCGATACACTCGTCGTGACCTTACGATTAAAACGTGAAAAAAATGCTAAAAACCTCGCTACTGGCGATCGCGAATGGTAAGCCCCGATGTCCCCACGTCTCCTACACACTTCAACTCCCCATAAACCAGCGATGAAAAGTAAAGACGCACTCGACTTACCTTCTGCCGACGCATTGACTCGCTGACTTATCACAGCTCACGGGCACCCGATCAACGGATGTTTCACGTGCGCGCCTGCGCAATGCGGCCACGCACATCATAGGCGGCTTCTACTGCTATAGGGACACTGACGCCGGCGGCTGTGCGATACCGAGCTACGCTAAATCACACCGAGTGACGATAGCGGTATCAGCTCGTGTTGCGACTAACAATATCGCAGCGTCGTCACCCGCGCAGCTTCCTGCCTCGCTCTACCGACACGGGCTCCTTAAGGACGCACGCAGGCAGTATGCGTGTGCGCGGCAGCGGTCGGCTAGCTCTCAGGCATTAACGCGCAGACTCGGCGGCAGCGAGACAGCGCTGTTGAAACTGCCGGCAACTGGCGGAGCTCGAATATCGGCTTCATTACCAGGAAACGCTAAAGTGCTGCGGCGAGGCGCGATGGCGATAGCTGGAGAGGTCGGCTCACGCGGGTGAACGAAATCACCAACGCCGTGGCATCGGGGAAGAGTTATTTCGAATGATTGAACACGTCCTGAGCGATGACCATATATATATCATATATATATATATATTATAATATAGTCTGTAGGTGTGTGTGTGTGTGTGTGTGAAGTGTGTGTGTGTGTGTGTGTGCGGTGCTGTGTGTAGCGTGTTGTGTGTGTGTGTGTTGTGTGTGTGTGTGTGCGTGTGCGTGTGCGGTGCGTGCGTGTGCGTGTGCGTGTGCCGCTGTGCGTGTGCGTGCTGCGTGTGGCGTGTGCGTGGTGCGTGTGCGGCTGCGTGTGCGTGTGCGTGTGCGTGTGTCGTGTGCGTGTGCGTGTGCGTGTGCGTGTATGTCCCTGTGTGTGTGTGGTGTGCTGTGTGTGTGTGTGGTGTGTGCGTGTGCGTTGGTGGTGTGTATGGAATGAAGGCTATATCCCTACAGTCAAACCCGTATTAGCCAACCACCTCTAATGAATGGCCGCTTACCTATCAACGCCCAGTTTTGGGCGTTTCACCTGATTGAAAGTTACTACAGTTAAACTGACCTCTTAAAACGGCAAATTTTGAGGTTTTACTTAATGGAAATAAATATCAACTTTTTAACTGTAGCTCCCACATAGTGTTGTTCTCTGTGGAATCCGCATAGAACGCCCGTCGCAAATCTCGACCGCGATATGCTTGCCCTTCCGAGCGGGAGTAGGAGTCGTGATTGAATAGCAAGAACTTGCGAATTACCGTCGTCCATCGGCCATGTTAAGTTGACGTCATGCCCCCGTCTCGTGGCTTGAATGGAGACACGGAATGTGTATCGGTTCGCTCGTAGAACCCCGATCAAAATCAAAGCGATACAATCCGTACAGTTCAAATAGCAGTGCAAACACAATTACCACTCGCCGACTAGTTGCTCACACTTAGGCTAAATGTTTGTTCAGTTGTTTACGAGCTGGCGAATCGCGCTTGCAGACGTGTTATGTTCAGCCGATCATTATGTTGTTCGTTTGCCTGTATCTTGCCCGCGACCAGGAATATTTATTGTGCCTCACGATGTCCACTAATGTATTTTCCGAATCGTGATGTCTCAGGAATGTAATCGATAGACACTCACACAGAATCCACAGACACTAGCATTAGAGACGCGGTGGACTAGAAACCAGGGGCCGTTGTCGAAACATCGTAAAGTTAATGACTAAAGTTAATTGCTACGATAACCACTTACGACTGATGCTAATGTTGCGAGACTAGCGCCAGAACGGGCGGTCACAAGTTGACAGAAACACATACAGCTGATTGAAAACTTAACGATACCAGGAACTTCATCACAAGCTGCTGCATTTGGATGAGAACCAATCACAAACTTCCAATTCAAATGACACATTTATTGTACATCACAGTAATTTAGGCATATTCTGGATGCGCTAACCACCATATAAATAATATTTGATGAAAACGACGTGGTCATCGAATTAATTCTGCACAACAAGACTCAAAGTTCTCACCACCTGTAACGCCGAGACGGCGAGAATCGTGGCAACGCGTGGAAAACTTTAGAACAAGAGAACAAATGCCCTACCGCCCATTTGTAAATGTATGGTTTTGTTTTATTAGCGGTAAGATAATGTAATGAATTTTGACCGTGTTTTTTCACGAAACACACACATTTTATTCATTATTATAAAATATAATGATCACTATAATGTTGTAAGTTCGTTAGTGAAATGTGTTATTTCAACCCTTTATATTAAAGTTAACGAGAGGGTCTGAGCTCTCGTCCATGTTTATGAGATAAGTTTGCGACGATTTTGTTCCTCGTAAACCTTACGCCCTGTTTCTGTCACGGGGTTTACGAGTGAAAGTTAATGGTAAGACTAATGTTGGCGCTAATTTTTTTGTTTCTGACCACGGCCCCCAGCAACATGAACTATTTAGGAGTACAATGGTTATTAGTCGTTTTATTCTTGCTTACCAATACCATACATCATACACGAGCTTAACTACGCGTGTTTTATTCAATTTTAAACATATATTATAAATAAAATGATACGAAGTTGTTTCTATAATATATATAATATATAACTTCTCAAACAATATGTATGAAAAACTGTATGAGAATGTTAATATACGAGAAACATACATAAAGCTAGCATACCGCAATACTTGGATGAATCGCAATATCGTGATTATACATTACATATCGCAAGTGAATTTCAACATCTAAAATATTTTAGGCCATTGAAACCATTCTTCTAATGAATTACACTTTATGCCTAAATTGTATTTCGATTTTCTTGCTGAGAGCGTTTTTTTGTAGGAATTTACCATGTTCGTGGTTAAACCAGTAAAAACATTTTTATCCGAGCGTTTCATGCAGAGGAAAACGTTAGAATTTCAATACCACTCCAGAATAATATGTTCACTATAAACTGTGAGGTCAGCCCCTACAAAGAGCTGGAAATTACTTAAAGTGATTACGTCACGAATTTATAGCACCATCAAGTAGTATATTTGTGTGTTATTTGTACAAAATAAAATGTATAAAATACAATTAGTGTTTCTGTTTATTTTCATGCTTATATATACCTTCTTTATATGCCCTAATTTGCCGGTGAAAAACAGAGAGACGCCAGTATCTGAACAGTACGGGGGAATAGTGTTAGACAACAGAAATTACAAAAATCGTCTAGATTTTTGCAAATTTAACCAACGTAAAAACATTTTTATCTAGTGAGAGTTTGAGGATATATTTAGTAACGTTAGTTCTTACTTTTAATGAAAAAACATGGCAATTTTTTTTTACAAATTTTACCCATGGAAAATTCGTGACGTAGTCAATTTATTGGTGTAAAGGCTTATGAATAATGTATGCACACTCTCATACGTAAATACGTCGCACTCACGCACACCCACGACACACACACACACCACAACACACACACACACACACACACACACACACACACACACACACAAATAACGACACACAGCACAACACACACACACACACACACACACACACACACACACACACACACACACATACACACACACACACGCGCGCGCGCACGTACGCACGCACACACCACACACAACACACACACACACACACACCACACACAACACACACACACACACATACATACATACACACACACCACGCGCGGCGCACGTACGCACGCACACACACACACACACACAGACATGCTCAGCATTTGTATTGCTTTAAACATACAGTTAAGTAGGTTAGCGGCAGTCTCTCAGCGCCCGGAAAACACGCTACTAGCTGTGACCTCGTAGATATAGAGCACCAGACAGAACGTGAGCAGTGCCGCGGCTCCAGTCACAACGACATCACAGCCACATTTTTGTAACTTTGCTTCGACTTGAAATTGTGACAACACTCGCCGAATAAAATGGTAGCATGATCACATTCTTCTCAGCGCGTACACCGTTACGATATAATACAACTCGTTTGCACCCATAGTTGCCACAAGCCTACAACTAGTGAGCAGCAGCGGCAGATCCACGATTTTGAGATGGTGGAGGGGGGGGGCAACCGCGTAGCCAGGATTTCATTTTAAGGGGTGCGGATTTGTGATAGCGCCGGTACGCACGCTCGTGTGCCGAATAGGGGGAGGGTCGCCTCTTGCGCCCCCTTGGCATTCGCCCACTGATGAGCAGTACTCAACAATAATTTATTTCTTCGCTTAGGACTACGGTGCTACGTTTTTTTTTATTATTTAATGAGTCATGGTGTACGCGTTGCTCAAATACGACGCCACTGTGAGCGTTTGTGCCGCATCGTCATACATTCGGCGTAATAACTCATGCTGCCATCATGCGGCGGCAATAAAAAGATTTCTCATTACCCAGCCTCCTCGCTGCGCTATCCATGACGCAATGTCGGAATCTAATAATCTCGACCAAAATGTCGCGGTAGACTGACAAGAAATTCGGCACGGCCCTGTCTCACGGAATCCACGGCAATTGATTGCAGTACGGCGAAACATGGCGACGATCTTACCCCAGGCCATATCGAGTCGCCAATCAATGACTCGCAAAACGTCTGAAAGAGGTCGTGAATCATAGCACCGATCTTCCTTTCAGCTTCAAAGCTCGTCGCGATGCATTGGTAGAGACATGGATATGTTAGCTCGAGTATTGCCCTGCCACATAAAAGATGTGAAATTCGAGTAGCTCGATTTCTCGCTAAATTGATCCTCGACGGGCAATCCTCCTGAATGAACAGAACAAGAGTCATGCACAAATCATCGTTATAACATAAACAATATGTGTACGGACAATATAAACAGACTATATACACCGACTTGTAATAATATGCGCAACTAGAAGAGTAAGCAAAGTAGTGTGGAAGAAATGACGTTAGTACCCACGTTAAAATCATAGCGGGTTCGGATCAATCTTTTAATACTACTAATGTTAATGTATGGATATTGTATCATCTGGGCGTGTGCCAAATAAACGACATTGATAATATATTTCGTCGGAGGCCTTGTAATGGTGTCTAACAAAACGCGTACAGGTTCCGGGTTGAAATCGGCGACGGTAATAATGTAGACAAATAATGAATTCGGAATTAGAGATAATTGTATCGCCCACACATTATTACATTTACCAATCACCTGAATGTAGTTTGGCATGGATGAAATGCCTGACGAGTAGGCGTGTCTGCTTCAAACACGTTATGTTTGATATCGCAGGACGCCGCGGTAGCAGTAGCACGCGGAAGAAACGTCTCGCTATTTTGTGCACAGTTCGCGTGGCATTCAGGACATGCTGATCACCGTCGAAAGGGCGCCGATAATGTCTCTTCGTTCGTGCGCGGCCATTTCTACTGACAGAGCTAGCTAGTTCTAGAGCGATTTAGAGAGCGGTAATACCTGTAAGATATCTAGGGCACGTCTGTGTAATATTTACGTGAATTATATTAAACAAGGCTATATACAGTCGCGTAACCGTGAAGGGCGAACCGGTTATACGTTGGCGCAAGATCGTGTTGAAAGTATGTGCATGTGTGCGTGTGTGCGTGTGTGAATGTATATCTCCGCTCTCTTGTTTGAGATTTTTAATTTTACGTTATATGATTCTTTTGGTGGGTACAGGGCATGCACGAAGCTGTACCTTAGCTAGAGAGCTCAGCGTAATATAAGTGTATGTAATATATCTAAAAATATATACATAAATAAATATATATTAATTTTATTTATTTATTTATTTATTTATTCTTTCATTCATTTATTCATTTTATTTATTCATTTATTTATTTATTTATTTATTCGTTTAAATTACCTACACTTATATTACTCTTAGCTCTGGTAATCACTAGTCACTTGGTCTAGAATCTTCCATCCGTATCCATGGTCTGTATTTCCATTGCTATGCTTAGCTGCCCAACATATCTATAATTATATTGAGTTAGCATTACCACATCCTATGGTAATTTTTCCGCAGCCTACTTCAGCTTGAACACAGTTTAAGTAAAAAATGTTGCCGTTCTAATATTACAAATTTTAAGTTACAGTGAATGAGCAACATTCATATATCGTATTTTAGCGTTAACATACGGATACTGAACGCAGTAACAACAAGAGAACAATAAAACACCAAGAGAAAAATAAGAAACATTACTGTGTATAAATTTATCATTCATTTTATTACAATCGCAATCAATACGGTGCTGGTTACAAAAACCCGTATATACTAAATAACTACTGGTAATAACAAAATGATATATATCACTAATATTACTACAATTGTTCGTTAAATAGAATCAAGAACACATACAGTCACGACGTGATAAAGTTGTCTTTAGAAGGTGTGTTGTATTGTGTCTACCGTACATTGGCCCGTCAGTACATTACCACCGGCTTAGGCGGCTTATAGCCCAGGCGAGCCGTGGGCCTAAGTCTGTCCCTGTTCGTTGTTGTGTTGTTTTTTGTAATGACACGGGACGCGCCTCCTGAGCCGAAAGGTCGCGGTCGATAATTGAAGCCGGTTGATCCACTGTTGGCCCGGACCATTTTGGAAACTGGTATAATTAAGCTCGGAGAGAGGAAAAAAGAGCATAAGATACAGAGTTACTCTACGAGGAGACGTACGTGATTCTCCTTGTCCATACGATTTAAGAGAGCCAAGCAC